TTTAATATCAATATATAAATTCATTATATGTATTACATCTTGTAAGAAGAGAGAAATTTCACTATAAATTCATAAAAAATACTGCATGTAAACATATCTATATGTAACATTTTCATTTTAGGACCACAATAAGAAAAGTCCTCAATATAACTCCAAAATAAAAACCATTAAAAATTCACCATAAATAGATTAAAACATAAAAAATATCAAAATATGAGCTTCATGTTTTTATCCCAAAACAATAATTGTAATATAAGATTGTATATGAATAATTTATAATGTTTTTGGTAATGTACATAATTGATAATGTAAATATATTTTAATATCTATTTTGGAATAACAAAATTTATTTTGATATTTTAGTTTTACTTTAATGCTTTTTTTCAAAATCTTTGGAGTATTCTTTCTAAACCCCCCCAAAATAAAACATTATTATCTCTAATGACTCAAAATAAAAGAAACCGGGAGTACATTTNAGAGATTGAGAAATTGGGGAAAGAGAATGAAGAATTTGAGAGAAAGAAAGATGAGGGAGAAGGGAGGAGCCGCACGGCTAGAGAGGAGAGGCAAGAGTTTAGGTTTAGGGAAATATTTCTTTATTGATTGAATAATAGCTCCATCGTAGTGATACATTTATAGCTAGCATATTGAAGGAATCCTAATCACAAAAGGCAACTAAATAAACTAGGAAACTAATTAATCACCTAACAAATATAATATTCCCTAATAATAGTTAACTATAAATAATTCCTTACCATAATAATAATAATTATAATAATAATAATAATCCTAATAATAATAATAATAGTCTCGTAACACTCTCCCCGCCTCGAAAACCAACTTGTCCTCAAGTTAGAAATCTGGAAAAAAACGAGGACTCATGCGTTGTGAACGGACATCCTCCGGGGTCAAAGACCTTTATGAATGGAGCATCAAAAGAATCGGCCAAGCTCACAGCATTCACAACTCCAAACAAACAACTCCAGAGAACCAATACGAAGAAAATTCTGACAATATTTGTGACATCCCCAGAATCATAAAGGACAACAACATCACTTTCTGACATCCCAAATGTTTCCGTGCATCCATAAAAAATGACACCATCACTTGCATATTTTGCTTGGACAGTGTGGTCTCGTTGATCGTCACCAGAAACATCAACAACAACATCAACAACAGTAACAGAAACAACATCTATGGGATCAATAATACGATCATCATCGAGAACACCAACAGGATCTATAAAAATTTCCTTTTCAAATTCCTGGTACTGCAAAGTTGTGTTCTGCACAGGTACTGTAGGGGTCGAATCTAGTGGAGTGCCGATGAGTTTCCTTATAAAGCGCATAATGGTTGTTTTAAAAATGTATAACTCTATAGGAATCAGGCTCGGCATAATTGGGGGACCACGAACTAAATCCTGTATTGAACAAGAGGCATCTACGGCGAACGCATATACCTCGGAATCATATTTTAGTTGACCTTCAATTGGACGGAATGCCTGAAGTTTCTTTATAATTTCATCCACGGAATCTTCAACTGCACACACGCCTTCATAAAATTCAATTTGTCCCCGTAGAACTTTTTCGAGTAAGCCAAGAACTTTGTCTAACAGTGAATCCATTGCAAAAATAAACACCACCACACAACACAAACTTACTGGTAAATGTGTTTGCAGCAGTACACTTCAACTTGATTGATCACGCCAACCCTACGATTCAATTCAGATGAATGGCTGGACGGAGGGCGGCAATTGCGGTGACGGCGTGGTGATCAAATCCCTTGGCAGCCAATCAATTGAGGAAAAAAAAAGCAAAGCATTGAAACCATGAATTATTATGCTTTAGTGGCAACGGTGCATAATCAACGGTGCAACCAGAATTGATGATATGATTATTCAACGGTGATGATATTTTTTTTTTTGGTTTTTTTGGTGAGTTCAACAATGAAAGCACCAATTGATACGGTATCGTATCAACTAGAGAAGAGATTGAGAAATTGGGGAAAGAGAATGAAGAATTTGAGAGAAAGAAAGATGAGGGAGAAGGGAGGAGCCGCACGGCTAGAGAGGAGAGGCAAGAGTTTAGGTTTAGGGAAATATTTCTTTATTGATTGAATAATAGCTCCATCGTAGTGATACATTTATAGCTAGCATATTGAAGGAATCCTAATCACAAAAGGCAACTAAATAAACTAGGAAACTAATTAATCACCTAACAAATATAATATTCCCTAATAATAGTTAACTAACTATAAATAATTCCTTACCATAATAATAATAATAATAATAATAATAATAGTCTCGTAACACCCCCCCCCAAATAAAACATTATTATCTCTAACGACTCAAAATAAAAGAAACCGGGAGTACATTTGTTGAAAAATCCGGAGAAGAGAAGTCTTGGGATGCACATATTTGGGTACCTTGATGAGCACGGGTCAAAGCAGGCAATCACGAAGTACAGTAATTGGATGATAATTGATTCTGAATCATTTTTGCACTACAAATTACAAACAAACCCGAAATCAACATACATTTCTCTTTAGCTACCAAACCAAAATTGAAATTACAGTCCCCAATTTCAATTTAATAGTTCGTTTGGTACACAAAGTTGAAAAAATTAGCATTAAATTAGGAGTTGAAATTCTAAAAAATTAATTTGGATGAAATTAAATTCTCCAATTCTAATTCAGTATTGGCACTACGAATTCCAAAACAATATATTTTTGTACTATCAAACTGCAAAATTAAAATTATTCTTCTCAATTCCAATTTTATACTTCCTTCATCCAACGTTATTTTCACGTTTACTATTCACTTATCTGAGTCAAACTTTATTCATTGTATTAAATTACTTTCAGTATCTCTTTAATAAAATAATATAGGGATGTTAAATCTAATTTTGTAAATCTTTTAATGTTGTTTTTTAATATGTAGTTCTTATATTTAAATTACGCACTATTTTTTATATAAAGTCATCTGAAAATAACTCTAATCAAACATCGTAATTAACAATGGAAAGATAATTTTTAAACAAAAGGAGTAGTTTGAATACCTTATATAAATTAATAAACCTTGGAAGAAAGACTAAAGTAGGACTAAAACATTAAAAATATATCAAAATAGGAAGTCCATGTTTTTATTCCCGAAATAAGACTTACATTATCATACATGGTCATGTTAATCAGTTTATTCGTTGTGTCCACGCCGTAGAGGGGGTTGAATAAGGCGTTTAAAAACTTTTTGGAGTTTAATAAAAACGGTGTTGGCAAATGCAGAAGCAATATATAAAACGCAAAAGTAAAAGCGTAGTGTAAATGCACGCCGATTTTATACTTGTTCGGTAACTCCCTACTCCAGTACCTTAAGGCTCCTCGTTAAGGATTTTCAATCCACTATAACGCCTTGACCGTCTCAATACGATCGTCACGAGGACAAAACCAGTCTTTGGCAAACAAACCTTTGCCAATAGGTTTACACTAGATCGACAAATACTTCACGCCTTGAAATATCCAACTAGCTTGAGGATTTTCCAACGGCTATCCCCAACTGTGCACCGAAGATTTGCAGGATGTCTTCAACCTAGAGATTTGCAACGACTATCTCCAACTGTCTCAACAAGGATTTCACGGATGTCCTTGACCGCTTCCGGAGATTTCACCACGGCTATCTCCAACCATCTCAATGAAGATTTTACAACGGATATCTTCAACATATTACAAGGATATGAGAATTTGAATGAATCAACACCACCTCAAGAATATGAAATACAAGGTTGGGTTGGTGTGATGATTTCTATACACTCTAACAATTACAACTCTCTTATAGATAATATGAGTATATATCTCTTTTGAATCAAGCTCAATGTGTGTTCAAGAAAATATATTGAAGAAATGGCTCTTTAATAGCCTAATAAAAATCAGAGATTTTTCTGAACACAAGAAGAAAGAATTTAGAGATTTTAGCAAGGCTTGATTGATTAAAAAGATTGAAATGATTTGGGTATTTATAGGGATGGATTAGGAGTTGTTTGAAATTGAAAAATAACTGTTAGAGAAGAATAATTAACTCCTAATACCATAATTAAAATAATCCAACCGTTGGGTGTGAAAAGACAAGAAATAAAGAATCTGGTCTCCGAACGGTCCATCACATCGACCGTTTTAGTCCAAATGGTCGACCGTTCGGGGCAACGTTCAAATTCCTCCAACGGTCAGTAGGACGGTCGACCGTTTGGGGGTAACGGTTCACTACATCGACCATTCGTTACTGAGTGCGCAATTTTAAAATAAATTTGGTAAAGTGTTACTCGTAATAACTTTTTCAATACTAATCAGAATTGAATAATTCAAGAACCGGCGATCTCGTATTGAGAAGAGTTATAACTTTAGTTAAATATTTTGAAAAAATATATTTTTCGAAAATATTTACCAAATGTATTTTAAAATTAATATCCAAGTAAAAATCTTTTTTTGTGTGTGCAAATTTTAGTTTGAGCTTAGAGATATATCATTCAAATATCTTTAACAATAAATGACTCTAAGCTATTCTATGCTAGTCCTGTGTGAGCGAATGTATTGACGCAATCAACGCGTTTTAGTAGATTTTGTCATTCCTACATAATTGAACAAACGTTAGCTCAATTAAATTATTTGTTAACATCAAAACATGAGATTAAGCATACCAAGGCTAACAGGTCATATATATACCTTACCAAAAACGTATAGTAATTTGCACATGTACACTGCCACATTACCACAGGGCAAAGTCACATTACCACAGTGCAAAGTCCTATTTCGAGAAAAAAAATATGAAAGTTCTATTTTAGTACTTTTATTTATGTTTTAGTCCTATTTAGAGTGATTTCTAATAAACCTTTTTAAAAAGAAAACCAAGTATAAACTCATAAAAATATGTAAAAATATCTATATTTGGCATATGCATTTTAAGAGGGACAATAAGAAAACTTATTTATATAACCCCAAAATAAAAACTAATGTGTATTCTTTGATCTTTCTGAACCCTCAAATATAAAAAAAAGAATTCTCTCCAACTACTCAAAATAAAACCCCAAAAAAAATCAAGAAACAGGGGGAAGGGACAAAGAAGCAGAGGCAGTCGCCATGGCCGTCATCCCGCCGGCGACAGAGTTCGGAGATCTATGCGACGAAATCGCCGAAACCATCTTCTCTTTCGCCCCCCTGGAATCCCTAGCGACTGGAGACCGTTTCCAAATCATGGCGGCAGTTGATTGCCAGAGTCCGGCTGCCCCACCCGCCCGCCACGGACTCCGGTCTCGTTCTCCACCTCTGGTCCATCGGAGGCGCCGGAATCTCTCAAAAATCCGTCTTCTTGAAGCTGCACTACCCCCACAACGCCGAGCTCTGCACCGTCGACTCCTCCGCCCCGAACAAATTCCCCTTCTTGATCGATTCATGCAACGGGTTAATCCTCTACGGCGCCTTGGACGACAAAAAGACTTGGAATTACATCGTACATTCCCAGGTTTCCGACCAATCCATAGCCCTCCCTCCGTCGAACTCAGTGTACAGACCCGCATTCGTCGCACTGGCCTTTGACCCGAGGAAGAACGCCCAATTCAAAGTCGTGGGCTTTTTCTGGAAGAGGTGAATCCCCTCTCCAATTCTGTGAACTCTATGGTTTTCAAGTCTGAATCTTGTGAGTGGATGCAGAAACAGGGGATGCTCTTGAATTCAGGTCTGATTTCCAAAGAGGGCTTCGTGTTTGGACAGTGCTTCGGCCCTGCAATCTATATGAACTCAAGATTACATCTGATATGGTGCTTCTATCTCTTAATCTTAGATGAAGACGGCGATGAATTCACAGTTTTGCCACTCCCAAGAAACCCCAATGGATCATCATATTCATACCACAATCCCTGCCACCGCTCGCTATGGGAATCGGAGGGCAAACTGAATCTTTGTGACCCGGATGAACACGGGTTTCGAATCTGGGAGTTCAGCAACAACACCCTTGAATCGTTATGGAAATTGCTTCGGTTTGTGGTTCTGGACGATTTAATTTCAGAAACGAGGAGGGAGACGGGGTGAGAGTGACTGTGGGGAATTCCATAAGGTCCTCTGGGTTCAATGAGGATTTGCAGATTCTGTATATTCATGTGGTTGTGTGCAAGAAAATCGTAGGGTACAGCTTTGAGACTAAGAGGGTTGTGGGGGTTTGGTCCTATGGAGATGTGGGAGAAGATTTCCAGCTTCATACATCCATTGGAAACAACTATTAGAAGAAGGGTATTGTCGAAGGCTTCTTCTGGCAGCCGCGCTTCACACAGTGCAGATCGGAGAGGGAAAAGGGAGGGAGTACTCTATCGACCAGAATGAAAACAGAGATGACGGGCAGACCTTTAGGAACAGCGCATCTTGAGGTAGAGGTAAAGGTGAAGGTCGTGGTTGCAGGAGTACAATCAACAATTCTTCATCTTTCTCAACATTGGCCCGGCGGCTATGGTACATTTCTATTTTTTTTATCAAATTCATATAGAAACTCTCAAATTAAGAATAGCTAAGGGCACAACTCGGTGGTGATTGACATGCTAAATAAGAGGTGCATTTATTTGTTTCAATCTCTTTAATCCCTTTGATGCACTTCCTACGGGTGGCAGAGCTGGGCTAGGCCAGCAACACCACCTGGCTTGCTGGATTTGGGATTGGCTTTGGTCTCTGGTATCACATATTTCATTTCTAGAATTTTACATCCGAGCATATCTAACATTGCTTCTAAGTATCAATTATCTAACATGGCATGAATGGCTAACGGGATCAGTTTGTCTCTTGGGTTCTGAATTGCAGAAGAAGATATGCTGGGAATTTCTTGTTGCTGGGTCTGAGCAAGGCATTGAAGCTGGACAAGTTGGACTTAGATTAATTATCAAGGGCGATAGACAAACTACAGTCTCAAAGGAGTGGAGTGTAGGTGCGAGCAACATTGTTGATGGAAGGTGTGTTTTCTTTTACTTGTAGGGTTGCTTCTTGAACGCCGTGTCAGTACTTATAGCTTGCTGCTGGCAACACCAAATCTCTCAAGTTTTTTATGAATATATCGGTGTGTTGGATTACTGCTGTGGTTCATTGCTCCTGTACTCTTATCTTGGCTAGAAGTTGAATTCTTATTTTCCTGATCCGAAGATAAATTACTTTGCAGGTGGCATATAGTTACATTGACTGTAGATGGTAATTTTGATGGCTATCAGACAGGGCTACCACTGCATACTGGTAGTTGCGTATGGGAGCAAGGAACAGAGGTCTGGGTGGGTATACGACCACCTATTGATCTTGACGCATTTGGGAGGTCGGATAGTGAAGCAGCTGATTCTAAGATGCAGATAATGGATGTATTTCTTTGGGGAAGGTGCTTAACTGAAGATGAGATTGCCACTCTTCCTGGTGCAATTGTTACTGCAGAGTATAATATGATCAATCTATTAGATGATAATTTTCAATGGACAGATTCTCCAACTAGGGTCAGTGTTCTTTGTCCGAAAATTGTATATTGAGTATAGTGCAATTTCTTCCACATGCCCATTTTTCAATTTTTGCAAATAAAATGCCTACACATTCATTTCTGTTTGTCATTGATCTATTTGGATCTCTTATGCTCTCTCATTTAGGTCGATGACTGGGAGAGCGACCCTGCAGATGTTGTGGATTGGGACGGGCAGTATTCAAGTGGGAGGAGAAGGAGATCTGAACGGGATGGTGTTGTTGTATTGGATGTTGATTTGTTTACGAGAAGGTTGAGGAAACCATCATTGGAGACCCAGGAAGAAATGAATCAACGCATGCGCTCAGTTGAAATGGCTGTGAAGGAGGCTCTTTTGGCAAGGGGAGAATCCCAATTCACAGATCAAGAATTCCCCCCTGGTGACCGATCATTATTTGTTGATCCAGATAACCCTCCTCCAAAACTGCAGGTGAGTTGCACTGGCAACAGTTTGCAATGGATTTTTTGGGCATGATTTCCATTTTCTGGAGCATGGCATATCCGTACAAACCTACTTTGGCAGAACTCACAATAAATTTTGTTTGAAGGTTGTTGCTGCATGGATGAGGCCCATTGAAATAGTTGAAGAGAATCAGCTTGTTTCTGGTCCGTGCCTGTTTTCTGGAGCCGCAAATTCTTCAGATGTTTGCAAGGTTTTGCCAACAAAACAAACTAATTGTGCTGTATTGCTATATAAAACTTGTGATCTTATCTATTTCCGAAGTCTTTCTTTGGACTTTCCCCTACAATTTCCTTTCCATGGAGACAAATCACTTGTGTGTTTGTGTGTGTATATTACCATATTAATGTTGCCACTAAAACATTTCAGGGACGACTGGGTGATTGTTGGTTTCTGAGTGCAGTTGCTGTTTTAACTGAGGTTTCACGAATATCGGAAGTTATAATTACACCTGAATACAATGAGGAAGGAATATACACAGTTCGTTTCTGTAT